TGCTAATAGTTTCATAAAGATATACTATGTAATAAAATCAGAGTTATTACGAAAAAAAGTTTTTTTTGGAAAAATTTACCACCCTGTATCTTAGAATAGGTCCAAGAATCACGCCCTTAAATATGAGCATGTCATTAAGGAACACCCTGTATAAATTGTATATTATGTTACAGTGAAAGTCGGAAATTCAGTGATTGTTAACATTCACTAGGAAATGCTAGCAATTACGCATTGGAGCAGTGAATGTGGTATTTTAAAAAGACTTGTAGACTTTTCCTAGTAATTTCTAACATTCGCCAGTAAAAGTTATTCTATTGGGCGAGTGTGGCGAGGAAGAATTTTGGTGGAAGAACAAATAAAACTTTTAAGAATATTGGATCACCTCATTATTCAAGCTGATCCACATATCTTAAAATTACAATTTGTTTCTTTAGTATATTTATTAAAAATTGTAGAAAATAACGACATAACCTTCTAAATATTATAGGAAAAACATAGTAAACATTTTAAAGCATACAAAACAATTGAAAAACCTTTATAAACATATAATTACTTATGGGACAAGATTTTTTAATAAAGTTCTTCGTCGTGGACAAAATAAAATTGCCTGAATTTTCTTCAACGGGAGTTATTCGTTTTTTCAAACCCGCTACATCAAGCATATCAAAGGTTTAATAAATTCATAGTCACTAGGTTCCTTAATATCTTTTTCTCTTGTATGCTTAACTTTTGGTATAATGCAAAAATGAAAAACAAGCACTATTACATTCTTGCGAGTGCATAGTTTACCTTAATTTTTCACAGAAAATTTTCTTCCATATAGGGAAAATACCGCACAGCAGTTTTTACAACGATAACAAAACAATTATACATAACCACAAAAAACAAATCGAATTTACGCCAGATGTCTGTCAACGTTGCCAACGTTTAGCCCAATTTAATGTTGTCCTTATATTGCCTATTATTCAACTTATTCTTATTCCTTATATTTTACAACATGTGGTAACCGCGCTAACTGAATCTTTCAACTCACTACTATCGTCCAGGAAATGCTAGCATTCACTAGTAAAAGTTGGTTTCAAAAATAGATGTTTAACTTTTACTGGCGTAGTCTTACCAAATCAGTGAATGGTGAGCTTTTACTAGTAATTATTGTTAACAATCACTGATTTCCAACTTTTTTACTGTAACATATATATTTTAAAGGGATTTCAAGTGAACATAACGAAGTGTTTTACGTTCGATTGAAAATGAGTCTGAGAAGGAGGGAGTGCAAGCATTTAAAAAAAACTGTATCCAGCGTCGCCCTAAAACGGGGGTGGTTGATACGAAAACAGCGGCAGTATAAAAAGGGCTGCCGCAGAAAAGAACAGAGAGCGGGGCAGGATCTTACGCGCAATTTAGCATTTTTAATTAGTGCGGTAGCTAGGGTGAAGATTTATATTTTAAAGTTGGCCGCCCCGACGTCTCGCGTCGGAGGGGAACAATGAAGGGCCGTCGGGGGAACATAAATAATGTTTGCCATTCCTATTAACAAAGAGAAAGAGAAGGATAGCGAGAGTATTTTGAAGGGAGGAATAAAGGACGCGAACTGATTAAGGGTAAGTTTGATTTTAAGATGTAGCTTGCGTTAATCCCGTTCTATAAATATTTTATTTGGTCTAATTACAAGTACGAAGCATGAATAATTAATTATTAATCTATTGTGCACAATTTGAGAATGTAGCGTCATTAAAGAAACTTTAAACCAAGATTGATTACTTCAGTTGACGCGGCTTGATTTTTTTCTTAAACCAGTACATCTCTCTATTTATTATCTTGGTTTGCTTCGAACCACTAACTCTATATTGTGCTCCATATATGATATATGGAGCACAAGATAGAGTCGCATATATGTCATATTGGCAAGCGAAGCCTTGGGTCGGTGTTTACATGTCTAGGAGTGAATCTAGAATCTATGAAGAGTATTTAAAAAAGTATTTATATCGGACGCTAGATTTCATGAGCTTGGGAAAATACTAGGGCTCGTCTTTCTTTATTTAGTACATCATGAGTACCTACGTCTTATTTTACTTCACGTATTGACCGTACTCTTCGTGCACACGAAAATCGGCACCCAAAGTAAGAAAGGCCGACCTGGTATACCTATCTTAGTTTACAGGATTTTGAGGTGTCTCTTGTTGATAGTGTTGATACATTTTTTGGATGTTACTTGACACGTATTATTATACAGGGTATCCCAGAAAAAAGTGCAAGTATTTTAATGGGTGGTAGATCTCGAAAAAAGAAACATGTTTCCTCTTTATCGTTTTTCAAAGAAGTCCAAAATAACGGAGTTATTTTACTTTGAAAATTTCCAAAAAAAAATATTTTTGCTAAAATTTTGAGAACCACTGGGTCTTTTCTGGATTTTCTTTTTTGTAAATTTAATCTAATACCTATGTTGCCATATTATCAAGAAATTATGTTTTTTAACTAAAAACTAAAAAAAAATCCATTTTTCAAAAAATTTCGAATTTTCAAAAATTTTTTTTCGCGAAAAAACCTCATAGCCGTGTTTCTGAGGTTGAACAATACTACCAGTTAAAATACTTGCATTTATTTCTGGGACACCCTATATATACATATAGTATATTATATAGAGGCAAAAATCTATATGACGGAACAAAAATTGCATTTCTAACAAATCTTTATCAAATAAAAATAGAAATATGAGAAATGCTTTCCAGCAAAATGGGTAACTAATCCGGAAACTCTAATTAATACTGCCAATTAAGGTCCAGATCTTTTTGGTCATCACAGAACCGAGCCTCGGTAACAATAATTAAAAAAAATATTTTTTGTTACATCAAAACGGTCGAAATCCCTGTTCTAAATAAGTAATGAAGCTATTTCTTATGGTTCTTGCTTCTTTTCTCTTTTGAAGTTCCTATAATATTTATTAATATGTTGTGTTTTAATAGATACTTACATTTTTAATTCAATATTTTAGGGTTAAAACTAAAAGAGAAATTCTTTTTGTTTTAATACTGAATCATTGTCTACCATATTCAAAGTAATATTTTAGGGCATTAGTCTCAAATTCAGTTAAGTTGGTTTATATTGTTTGATGTGAAATTTAAGTTACATATATACTTTTTTCTTTACTTTGTATTATTGTATTCATGTTTGTGTTAATTACTTAAAAATTTGATATTATTTTGCTTAAAAATCTTTTTATCCATTTTACTTTAAAAAACCATCCCTTGTTTTCTGATTGATAAACTGCACCACAATTGAACAAAAATTAGTCAGTACCGAAAGTAACGAAAAAAACCGGGAAATCCCGATTCCTAAGAGGCGCGGTACTGAAATTCCCGGTTCCGAAAAACAGCTCCGGTTCTAAACCATAGTTGCTTGTATAGTATTGATTGTTTGATCAAAGTCGAGTTAGAAGACTTTTTAACATCAAAGTTGCATCAATGTAAGCAGGCTGCCTTTCAACTTAATTGGATGCTACGAAACCGTCCAACTCGACTTTGATAAAAAGGTTGACACCATACCAAAGAGCGAGACGCACGCAACATCTATACATATAGGTAACACAATAGGTTTTTTTCGCAAAAAAAAAGTTTTGAACTTTTGTAATTTTTTGAAAAATGTTTTGAGTTTTTAATTTTTAGTTAAAAAACATATCTTCATAATATGGCAACATAGGTAGTAAATTTAATTTACAAGAAAAAAAATCCTGAAAAGATCCATCAAAGTAAAATATCTCGATTATTTTGAACTTATTTGGATGGGCAAAGAGAAATTATGTTTCTTTTATCGAGATCTACCAGTCCTGAAAATATTTGCACTTATTTAAGACTCACCCTATATAATGGCAGCAACCGGTTGACTTGGCCCAAGTACACTTTAACCGTGTCAATCTGGCGTTGCAGATTTAATTGAAAGGAATATCAATAATATTGACAACAAAAGGAATATAACCAACCAAGAAAACAATAAAAAAAATCTGGTAACACCATCTTGTAGAACAAAAAAGTATCAATGTGAATGTGAAATTTACTTTGTTATATTTATTCAAATAGAACCACAAAAATAAAAATGAAATCGCGAATATTCGGTTTAGTTGCAAAAATGTTTGTGGAATTCATTTAAATTAGACCAAGGATTAGACTTAACTTAGATTAAAAAATAGCAGAAGTTGAAATTAAATAAAATTATCAATAACAATATACAGTAAAACCCCGGTTATCCGAGGTAACGTGGGGGACATCCTCCTCGGATAACTGAAAACTCGGATAATCCGGATTTATTAAAAAATAAGCACCAATACATACTTTAAACGGTTTATTAACATTTTTAACATGTAAATACATAAGTACCTACATATGTAGATACAATCTACATTTTAAAACAGTGAAATAAGTATCTATGCGCTGCTGTTTCATATTGCATCTTCTTTTTCTCGCTGCCATATTTCTCCTTCTGTTAAGAAGAAGCAAATCTGTTGGGGTTGCCTCTGATTGTTGTTCTGTTGTTGATATACCTCAGAGCTGTTTCCAGAGAAGCAAAACCTTCTTGATGGGTAATCTTAGTGGAAGACTGTTCATCCACCTCTTCGTCATAGTTATCGTCATCTGATTTTTAGGTTTCGCGAAAGGCGTTCGCTATTTCTTCAATATTCATTTCTTCTTCTAAATCATCTGCTGTAACCCATTCATCAACGTCTTGTCTTGTCACATTTTCGCAACCTTTCAAGTTTTGCATTAATTCTAATAAACTTTCTTCTTCTCCTGTCTCGTTAAATTTGTACAGGACATTTCTCCGCGGCTTTTCCATTTCAAAGCCAATTCATTTAATGGAATATCATCTTCACTGTCATTATAGTCCTCAATATCAATAACTTTCGACCAAGATTTTTGAATAGTGGAACCGCGTACAGAATCCCAAGCTTGGCTTACCCAGTAAATAACATTTTTTAGTGTAATCTTTCTTATCCCAGTGATAATATCCTCTTTTTTTTCTGTGCATTCTAGTAGATGTTCAAGATATAAACGCCTATATTTTTTTTTATCTTTTCGAGGACGCCCTGGTCCATTGGTTGCATTATACTGGTTACATTTGGAGGAAAGAAATTTACAATTTCGCCCACGTGGAGTCCTCCAGGGTGAGAGGGGGCATTGTCCCCCCCAACAAAATTGCTTTAATAGGGAGGCTGGTTCTCTTCAAAAATTTAGTCACAGATGGCACGAACTCTTCTTTAAACCAGTTAGTAAATAACGTCGCATCCATCCATGCACTCTTCTGACTTTTGTAATAAACTGGTAGGGCTTTGGGTGAGATGACTTTTAACGCTCTTGGATGTGCAGACTTGCCAATCACCATAAGTGGAATTTTGTGATTATCAGATGCATTGGAACATGTCATTATGGTTAATCTTTCCTTACTTCTTTTGTGCCCAGGAGCTGATTTTTCCTGTCGAGATGCCAATGTTTTTGATGGAAGCATTTTATAATTCAAACCACTTTCGTCACAGTTATAAATTTGATCACATGTATACCCACAATATTTGATTAGCTTTTTAAAGTCCTGTTTAAATTTTTCAATTGATGACACATCAGCAGAAAGTTTTTCTCCATATATAGTCAGTTGTCGTACACCGTACCGTTTTTTCCAGCGGTCAAGCCATCCAGAACTGCCGGTAAACCTATCTGTCTCTGGAAATTGTTTACTAATCATTATTGCTTTCTGCTGCAAAATGGGACCTGACAGAGGCACACCTTTTGATCTTTGCTGAGTAAACCACGTAAATAAAGCTTCGTTAACTTTTTCATAGTCGCCTTTTTTCATTGATTTTCTTCTTGAAGACGAAGAGGCTTGTTTTATACACCATTCTTCTATTTTAGTGCTGTTTCTGTTCCAATCTCCAACTGTTACCTCACCTACTCCATAATCCCGTGCAACAATTTTAATTGTCTCTCCTGCTTGAATTCTCCTAATGGCTTTTAATTTTTCTTCAATAGGAACGACAATTCTGTTCCAATCTCCAACTGTTACCTCACCTACTCCATAATCCCGTGCAACAATTTTAATTGTCTCTCCTGCTTGAATTCTCCTAATGGCTTTTAATTTTTCTTCAATAGGAACGACAATTCTTTTACGTTTGTTTCGTTCCATTATAATACGGCAAACAAAAATTTAAACAAAGCAGTTGGTATACACTTAACTAGAACTCCACCAAGATAAATCATGCGAGTACATACGTATACTACTTCTCCCTAGTGAACGCAATAACGAACTGCATTCACTCAAATTTAAGCTAAAAGAGTCCAAAAATATAAATAAGGGGAACCACTCACACGCGCCATGGGGATTCCCCGTCGGTCCCAACGATTTTAAACGGAAATATGTAAATATACATATAGCATATTTTAGAAGCTCGGTTAATACAGAGCTTAGACGCGCGACCTCGGATAATCAAGGTCTTTAGATTGGATGGGTTAATCCGGAGCTCGGATAATTGCGACTCGGATAATCGGGATTCTACTGTATATTATATTTATTCAAAAAACCGATAGAAAGACTACGAGGTTTATTAAGAAACAGAACATATCTAAAATAAGTTGCGCGCAGTTTACCACGCTGCAGTTATGAAGTTGCAGTTTCACTAGGTCGCTGGAGTAGAAAAACAGCTTGTAGCATGCTACTTTTGGCCTGTGTAAGAACACGACACAAAACTTTAGCAGCTACATCAAAAAAACTGCGCACTAAAACCAAATATGTCTGACATTATCTTTGTAGAATGTAGAATGATATGAGAGGGGGGTTAATCTAGTGTTGGCCAATCGTCCTCTACTTCAGAGGACAGTCCTCTTTTTGATTGTACTGTCCTCTTTTCTCTCGCGTATCGAAAAAGTCCTCTTTTTTACAAACCAAACTCAAAATCGAAAAAATTATCATCAACAATGCTTAGTACAATTGCTAATCTGGCAACAGCATTTCTTTTGCTAGCTGCATACTCTTTCATACAGAAAAGAAATATTTACTTACCTACAAGAAATATTGGTGGATGCGTTAGAAAGTAAAAAAGACCATTATCCGTATAATGTTTACCTAACTTTTGGGTAAATTTTCACTAAGAAAATATTTGTGCCTAATTATATTTTAATGACTGTGAGTAAAAAATATTTGAGAACGGTATATAAAAAGGACCATTTTTAAGATACTGCAATCTGACTAGCTAATTAATGAGCCATTTGGAAAAGACGAAAATTTGTCTTGAGGAAACTCGAATGAGCTAATTAGACGTGAAAATTTTAAAAATGGTTTTAATTTTTTATATCTTCGTATCAAATGGCTTTTTGTCTGGAAAAATGGGACGCAAAAATACACCGAAGCCATTTGTTGTTTTTTTCCATCCCGTTGGTGCTCCTGTTTCGGCCGTAACTTATTCCAGACAAACCGCTTTTAAGAAGATCCGCCACGACGTCCATTTAAAACCTTTTTAAGCAATTTTAAGAATCTGGAAAAGCGTAGGCGTGGAAAGTAATTAATTAACGGAACATTAAGCAATCCATCAAGGTCTTTAATTCATTTGGCCTCCCTAAGAGTGCGCGGAGCGCTTTTAAAATTAAATCCTAGGCCATTACAAGAATGGAGAGCGAGATGACAAACTAATCCGATGATTTTCTTTCGCTTTGTGCCTTGAAAGCCTTAATTTTTTCGTCGGCAGCGGATTTCAAAGAGAATTTTTAGCGAAAAGGTAAAACGTCTCCAGTTTAATGGAATATTGAAAGTCTTAAGTATAAATAATGTGTAAGACGTTAAAAATGTCTAAGTAATACAGTGAAGGAAATATTGAAAAAAACGGTTTCAATATGTAAGAAAATAATTCTTTTTTTAATTAATTACAACACCTACTCTACAAAATTTTATCTATAGGCTCGGTCCTCGGTCCCATTGCTACCACCATCGGCATCGGAGAATATCGTAAACAACCGGCCTGTACAAATACACAGATTTAAATAGCGAGTAGATATGCGAAAGAAAGTTTATATAATTATTCTAAAAGTGTTAGAAAGTATAATTTGTGAAAATTCTAAAAAACTTAATATTTTCATAACTTCAGGCCTAACTTGTATTATAATTTACTAGCGTGTACCCGCGACTTCGTTCGCGTCGAATTAATCATTTGTAATGGTGATGTTAAAGCAAAGCAAGAATTTCCTTTAAGATACAAACTGGATAAAATTTTCTCACATTTATGTTAGCATGAGAAAAAACATATGGCGATATTAATATATAACTTGGTAATATTTGAGGAGTAGTTTCATCTCGTTGGAATTTGACTTTCGAAAAATCCCTTTACCAAAAATAAGCTTTTTACGTCAAGCAGTTTAAGCAGAATTGTGGTTAATGAATTACCCAACTTTTTGGATCACCCTGTATGATTTTTTAAAAATTTCAAAATATGTAAAAAGCAAAATAAATTATGCGTGTCCAAGCGTTTTCCCGAAAGACTAAAAACCTCTACACCCCACAGTCAATCCGTTTGCCAAAAATCAGCTTTAAACGTCAAGCAGTTCAACCAGAATCGTGATTACTCAGTATGAAACACCCTGTATAAATTTTTAAAAAATCTTAAAATATGTAAAACAACAAAATAAAATATACGTGTTTTAGAGTTTCTTTCCGAAAAACTCACTGGTTTTTAAATAAAAAATATTCTAATATTTGAGGGGTGGTTTCACCCCCTTAGAATTCGAGTTTCGAAAAATCCCTTCTTATCGAACCTCTACACCCTAAAGTCAATCCGTTTTCCAAAAATCAGCTTTTTACGTCGAGCGCTTTAACCTGTATACATTTTTAAAAAATCTTAAAATATGTAAAAAACTAAATAAATATACGTGTTTAAGCGTTTTTCGGAAACTTGACCTTTTTAAATAAAAATATTGTAATATTTGAGGGGTGGTGTCACCCCTTGAAACTGGAATTTCGAAAATCCCTTCTTATCGAACCTATACACTCTAGAATCAACCTGTATGCCAAAATTGAGCTTCTTACGTTGAATGGTTTGAGCAGGATCGTGATTAATCAGTGAGTCAGTCACTTATACAGGGTGTTTCAAAACAAATGCGAAAAACTTCAGGGGGTGATTCCTTGTTCAAAATAAAGGGTAGTTTGCTTTATAAACGTTGGGTCAAAAGTCAACCATTAGGGAGATATCGCGGTACAAAGATGGCGGAAAAATAATGTTCTTATTTTTTATCTTGAAAACGAAAAGAGATAGACTAATGAAATTTTATGGAAGCATTACTGTTATGAAAACACACTTTCTGGTAATTTTTCACTTTTTAAAATGAGTGGAAGGGGTTGAAATAAACTACCCCTATCATTGTTGTTAACGAAATTTAAAGAAAAATCTTATCAAACACATGCAAAAAAATTAATTTGGATAGTTTAGTTTGTTTAGAAACTTTTTTATCTCTTTTATTTTTTTTATAAAACTCACCGATTTGAAATTAAAAAATAAAATGTAAAGCATTACATATCAGGACTAAAAATATTTTTAGATTAAGAATCTAGTGATAATAATGATAATAATCTAGATAATAACGTATTGCAGTAGGGTATTGTCAAATAAAACAATATTAGAAACATCCTAAAAAGTGACAGCGGCCGACTAGATTTTTTCCTAAAAAAATTACAGCTGCCCACTAGATTCTTTATCTAAAAATGTTTTTTGTCCTGACATGTAATGCTTTACATTTTATTTTTTAATTTCAAATCGGTGAGTTTTATCAAAAAAACACAAGAGATAAAAAAGTTTCTAAATAAACTAAACTATCAAAATTAATTTTTTTTGCATGTGTTTGATAAGATTTTTCTTTAAATTTCATTAACAAGAATAATAGGGGTAGTTTATTTCAACCCCTTCCACTCATTTTAAAAAAGTGAAAAAATGACCAGAAAGTGTGTTTTCATAACAGTAATGCTTCCGTAAAATTTTATTAGTCTATCTCTTTTCGTTTTCAAGATAAAAAATAAAAACATTATTTTTCCGCCATCTTTGTACCGCTATATCTCCCTAATGGTTGACTTTTGACCCAACATTTATAAAGCAAACTACCCTTTATTTTGAACAAGGAACCCCTGAAGTTTTTCGCATTTGTTTTGAAACACCCTGTATATTAGTATAGATTATTGAAGCTAAAAAAAACTTTTTAGATGAGTTCAACTACGGTAGCGAGCATTGTTTTAATCACCGGTTTTGCTAGTGAGGCATATTGGGGCTAAAGGTACAAAGGTACATTATATTTCTAGAAGATGTTCATAAAACATTTAATCACTTGTTGATTAATAAAAGTATACCATTAATATTGCAAATTATATTTTATTCTCTCATAGTATATGCCTACTTAATTTTTTGATAATGTAATAAGCACTTTGTTTACTCACTTGTTTCTTCATACTGCTTGAATCCATTTTTGCTTTTGATCAAATCGGTGTTAGAAACTATGAAGCTATAAAATGTTGTTTCGAGAAAGTTTAATATTCGGGAAAGGTGAGTTATTGAATATCATTGTCTAATTACGCTCTCCTCTACGCGTTAACATTTTTTCGGCAATTTTATTAACATTTGAAATTGTCACCACACGGCGACGCGACGCGACGCCTAGTTCGGGTTCTTTTTCACTTAATTTTCACTACCCGAAACAACGTTATATCATACAAACCTCGTACCTGAGTGTTTTATAGATTTATAGATTCAATAATGGCACTAGTAAAAACTCAAATACTTAAATATTAAGTCAAAGCCACTACTTTAATATTATTTCGATGCAACCGACATAAACGGTAACATTAGGACTAAGTGAAATACCTCATACCCGGCACTTCAAATTTCTCCTATACCGAGCGCTGCCGTCGGAATTTTTAAAATTAACTGAAATGCTCCAAGCCTATATTCTGGTACTGTTAAGTAATTATTTACAAATCTGCAACTATTATCATTTATCAAAAAATATAATAATAATATTTTCGTGTTTATATAAACAGCTAAGGGAATTTCCATCACCAAAGATTTTTTGGAATTTTTTAATTAAAGAACCATCGTGACACGTTTATCTCGACTCGACATTCTTGTCCAAAAATAAAATACAAAAGGTATATTCTAC